TTTTCCAGAGAACGGAACAAAAAAACATTATTTTGTATCTCCGAATTATTTTCCTATATGAAGATAGCCTCTCCTCGTTAGTGTCATCAATCATAGATATTTTTCAAAAGGCATCAATTTACGTCAATTAAAAAACTCGCGCTCTCTCTCCTAATTCAATATTCAATTAAATACAGTATCGCGGAATAGAATTTTTAGAGCTATTAATATGTATATATTTGGTTTTTACGTAAAAAAAAAGTTGCAATACTACGTTTAGTTTCACTTGACAGAATACAATATCGCGATTCAGGGTATTAATATGCACATACATTCCATATGCGCAAAATGGCGTAAACTCGAAGGAATTTAGCGGCGGTTTGCAAAATTTTCCCTCTAAGAAGTTTCAGCCAGCGGCACATTTTATAAATTTTTCATGCACGTACGCGCCTGTTTATTTAATTTGCTTAAAACTATGTAAATAGCGCCAAAGTTGTCGCATGAGAGTTTGCAATATTAAAAATTTACTCTCTCTACATATTTTTCCTCGTATCAAGTTTAACTTTGACATTATTATCTAATTGCGTTCGCTCAAATTATTGGTGCAGCAGTAAACTTTGACAGGCGAATTAAACTATTCTAGATTCTTCTTTCCGTATAGCAGCTGACTTCATTAGAACAACAATACGGCTTGAAAAACCGTTCGAGATTGTGCGAAACATTTAAGGTAGTTGTTGCGCGACAGTAATGCTCAAAAGTTTCTTCCAGACAGGAGCCACTCAATTATTACAATGCAATATTGTTCTAAAGAATACACTTACGATCAATACATAATATAAAATAGATTCGAAAGATTGTAGTTTGAGGCCCCGTTGTCACATCTCGTACACTACACTCATGTCTACTACATAATTCTTCCCATTTTTCAGTTTTAACTGTTTATAATGTTGATTCGGAACGGTCAATAATTTTATTTTTTTACCAGTTTTTCGTTTTATTTTACTTCAAAACATATTTGTTTCTCATACGAATCTCACTCACCGGTGAGCTTAAAAAAAAAATGTCATTATTTGCGTTTGCAAACGCAAATATTAATATTTGAACACATACTAATATGTGTAAATAATATTTCACGTGTAATAATATTACAGCGAATTATATTGTTACGGATAATGATATTTTTAATGTGTTTTACACGTAACATTTCGTGCAACACAGTAAACTTTAACATTGTTTTTTAGAACTTTGAGACGGTCAGTTTTAATTTTAATTAGTCTTACTTTGCACGTATTAATGTAAAGAATAAACTAAAAATTTGAAACAATTCTCACATAAATGATTTTACGAAATAACCACCTCAAGGAACGGTGCGCTACTTGTCGAAGCGTTTAACTCTGCAAGAAAAAGTATGGAGGCGCCGGTGCTTGATTGGCAGCCAACAGCCTCGCGGTCACAAAAATTACGTACTGGGTATGTCTTGATAGCCATACCCCATCGTGCCGGCCGTGACCGACACGACGCGCTATAGAAGTAGCGAGCACCCTTTTTGTTCGGCCTGTTCGACACCGGCGTCTTATAAACCTTGCACTTCAAAACTTAAACACGAGATACGTGTAACTCCTCTGGCCATCTATCGTACGCCTGCGAAACTAACTATCGCGTACAGTCAGATACGACACAAGTCGTATCCACGATGCCTCCCATTAATTTATTCCCGCATCTTTGATACCCGCATCCCGTCAACGTAATAAGCGAACTTTGGTCTGTAAATATCTATTTAGGTGGCTTTCAAGGAAATTATAGACGAAAGTCCCCTATTATGAGATAGGCTCTCTAATACGAGATAGCGGGGTTTCTGCTAAATTAATAGACGTTATCCGTTCGTTCCAGCGTAAACTTATTGCTCTTGGAGTGAACATTGTTTGGGACGATTGATTGTTGGGTCGTGTAATCGTCGCGGGAAAAGATTCGTGATTGATTTTTGATGTTGAAAACCTGCTATCTCATAATAGGGGACTTTTCTGTATTCCATAATTACCGTAACTACGTATTTCTCTATTAAATCTTAACGTTATAGTCGCTGTAGATTTATTTTCAATTTTTCCGCTCTTAATTTTTATTATTACACATTTATTACTTGCGAATTGGGGAAAAAATCGTGTTTCATAAATTGACAATTTCACAAATTTTAACGCGACGAGAGAATTAATTCGTTTCAATCGTTGTGCCATTGTGTAACGTTCTACCGCCGTCCAATAACAAGGCGAAGATTTTAATTATTGGACTACGTTCTTTAATAACAGTATCAATCAGGTATCAGTCAGTCATTAAAGTGTAAAATATTCCAAATAAGCCAATCAGTCGTTGGATTTAATTCGAGTGCACGATCGAATTAAATCCCTATGGAGGAATTCAATCGCGATAGCTCGCAAAGTATACGATCGGACCGAATTAACTACGGATTAACATTAGCGTAACCCTTTGAAAAGGTTTTTTTACGAACAGGCAAAGTAGCGCAATTGACAATCAAGTTAAATATAACCTCAGGTCAAGAGGATTTTTTTGTACGCAAACCGATTCACCAGCTTTGCGTGCTAGCAGAAAATAAAGTTTGCCGCGTGAATCTACATCGTGTACGTGTACAGCGTACCAAGATTACATATAATTTCCCATCGGATAATTTTTATGTCCGCTCATTTAGCTCGCAGTGGACAAACGCGATGCCAGTAGAAAGCCTATTTATCCCAACTGCTGGTTAGTCAAAATGCTTTAAACGCTGCCTGTTTCACGCGTAACAGTTCCGAATACGTTAACTCGTTACATTTCTCGATCTTTCGTATCAGAGATATTTTATTAATTTTAAAACTCATTATAACATTGCAATGCTAATATTTTTTCGTGGATAAGAATGCTGTATATTCCACCGTTCTCTGCGGTTGAATTCCCCATTGTCTAAATACGATCCACATTACACATGCAGCAAGCGTAATTCAGCCTTCGCCAGTAACTATAGTTCGCTAAAGGGCTGAAATGCTAATGAGATTGCCAGTGTACAGCTGAAACAAAGTCCCCGCGAGATGCCGAAATATAGATTTTCGGTGTAAAAACAAACGTCGAGGAGCGCAACTCGACTTTATGCAAAATGCTTCGCGCGACACATACGGAGAACACATTTTCATATATTTTGTATTTCCAGGGGACGATAAAGATTTTTAAGATGCATTTTTTTTTTTAACGAACGCGGTCAAGTTCGATTATACAGAAAAGAAAAATGAAAAAATCACGCATAAAGTGTGATCGCTTATTGTTAGTCTGCAACAACGCGTCGCTTACGGTATTCGAGGTTGGTGTCGACGTTTGCACCTTAGAATTTTCAATTCTAACCTTCCGTGGCAAACGCAGCGACCGACGGAATCGCCGCAGAAGTAGAATAGCATGCGGAAGTCACGGTGCTCGCGAAAATATATTCCACCTGACTTCCGTATCGCGACGATTGTGAATTCCGAGAAGGCCGCGTCGCATTCGGAAATATCGGCCCTTTTTCCATTAAAAAAAATAAAAAAGACAAAAAATCACAGGGAACCGTTCTCGTGGAAAATGCGTCGCTCTAGGTCCGCCGGTGTCGAGCGTCGCCCGGGTTTAGTTAGTTACATCACGTGCGAATCAGCATGTCCGCAGGATCCGCGTCCCCGAAATGTATACTCTGAGGATATTAAATCGGACAATGTAGGGAATGAGATTAAGTCGTAAGTTCCTTCTCGAGCGGACGGTTCAGAGCCAAGTTTTTCCCTCGGATCCTTATCGCTTCCATAAGGAAGTTTCCATATGCATAGTTTAAAGGAGCCCGTTATCGTCGTCTTCAAAAGTCTTGGGACGAAATTGTGAAAAATCTGGGACGACGCGCCTTTTGATATCTCGGTCGTGAGCATAGACATATAAAAGATAGACTGCTTATGAGGTAGTGGGGGATGTCCTCCTGAGGGAAAAGGACAACACCAATTTATTTAGATACCCAAATAAATTCATGTTGTCCTTTTCCCTCAGGAGGATGCCCCCACCTAGGGTTCCACTGCCTCATAAGTAGTCTATCTTTTATATGTCTATGGTCGTGAGTCTAAGTCCGTTATCGTCTTTAAAAGTCTTCAGACACAATGTTGAAGAATACGTCGTTGTGCGATACGACTCTCGGTATCGGTTGAAAGCAGCCCCCTCGAGACGAAACGGAGATACCATTATTGTATGTCACAATATAATAGAATACACGGCAGTTACCTAAATCGTCAAAGCTATCGAGTAATAAAAGAATCGCGCGAATAAATTTGTTAATAAGTGTCGTAAATTGTTCTATCAAGACATTAAAACGTCTTATTGAAGCCCTGCCCACCTCTGACCACGGCATTATCAAAAATATTGTCAAAATAACGCAAAATCAGGAAAAACAAAACGCAAAAAATGCTAAAAAAATAACGCAAAATCTGGAAAAACAAAGCGCAAAAATGCCCAATAATAACATCAAAATGTCACACCTCTACTTATAACACAGAGCGCGACACGGAGACGCGATTTTGTCGTTTGCTTAAACTAGAATGAATTCGACGGTTTCGTTTGTTCGTGCAGTTGCGCGGTGCGACAATCTAAAATCCACGAATTATCGGGCTAGGTACTAATAGTCCGTACGAGAATCTACCGCCGAAAGGGGATAATCTCGACTTGCCAACCGCGAACAAAGTGCAATTTGCCTTGAACCGAGCACCTCTCCAATTTTCCTCGAAAACGGGTATCGGGGTACACCAGACCTTAATGAGTTCGGTCGAATTACGAAACTTAGGATCATGAGATGCAATGAGACTTTCGTGTCAATTAGTGCGATCAATTGTGAGACGAGAATCTTGAATGGTGAAGATTTTCCCGAGCGTGTACAACAATACGTATGAAGCGAACCGCTTCGGCTGGAATTCGACAATTAGACAATCGGGGACCGGAAGGCCTCGGCGATTGTTAACGGGATCAAGGAGGCTTACCTGCAGGTACGGCACGGCCTTGCAGAGTTTCAATCCGAGGAACCAGGTCTCCGTGACGTCCCAGAGGACCGACGGCGGCAGGCAGATGAGCAGGACGAGGAGATCGGCCACCGCCAGGTTGACGATGAAATAATTGGTGACGGTGCGCATCGAGTGATTGCGGTAGACGGCCATGCAGACGAGCGCGTTGCCGATCAGGCCGACCACGAAGACGACGCTGTGCATGGCGATCAGCACCCAGTAGGAGAATTTCGGGGATATGTGCTGCATCATCAGGTCGAGGTAGTCCTCGTCCGAGATGCAGTAGTCGTTGGTGCAATTCGTCCCGTTGGCGTACTCGTAGCTGCCCTCGCCGTCCGCGAGCGACGGGTAATCATCGTCCGCGTCCTCGGCGTCGCACGCGCCCGGCGTCGCCGATGCCATTAGCCAGGCGACGATCATCGACACGACGAGTCTCATGCTTCGATCTTATTGCGTCCTCGGCATAGTATCTCGCCCGCGCGCAATTACACGCCGTAAAACGATTTAATTGCGGTCCGTTTCGAGTCGCGACGTTCTGTCGCACAGCATCGCAAATTCATCGATCGAATTCGGGAATTCGGGCGGAGAAATTGCTCGTCGAGTCGTCGCGTCAGTCGGTTTCAATTTGACGAGTCGCTCCGTCGGATGAACGCGTGAATGCAAATCCGAGCGTCAGGTGAAGCCGCGTGAAGACGACGGTGTTCTCTCGCGATGGCCGACGTGCCCTCTCAAAGCTCGCGACTCTCCCTTCCCTCTTCTTTCACCAGGTCGTGACTTTGACACCCTGGTGTAGAGTCTTCTTGAGGCGGGGATTCCGCTCTTCGCTACACGCGCTATTGTAATCGGCTTCTGTCTGCGCGCGGTAAAGAACGCGGTCGTTGAAACTGAATCGTTCAGCCTCCATACGGGGTACAATGTTCCTCACGTTATGCGCTCGAACTTTGTAACTTCGACACGGTCCCCAGGTCTGTTCCCAATAACACTGTAATATACTTCATAAAATCGGGAATGCCATGGATGCCTAACTCGCGAGAGAGACCCGAATAGCTCCGAGTTGCACCTGCCAAATCGCATTTTCTTCATTTAACCGATTCACAGCGCTCAGACTTGCTCTGACACAACGAGGCTCGTAAACGAGATATGACGTATTTAAATGTTAAGCATTTAAATTTGAATGGGTCCATCCCTAAATCGATCTCGCTCAAATGAAAAAATTTCTCTGTTGAGCGAAGCTATTAGGCTCAGTTAAAAAAATTGGATAAAAAGATTTCAAGGCAAAAAGCCAAAGAGCCTAAAAAGCCCCATTGACTCGTAAAGCCTCCCTCTACCTTGAAAATTGAAAAGCTTCTCTCTATCTTGACCATTTTTTATCCGAATTTTTCTTTGCTGCACTGAAAAAAAAATCTGATAGATCCAACCAATCGTCTGTTAGAAAATGGACGAATCAGAATTCCTTTAGGATTTACCAGATGTGTAGTGAAGTCTAGCAAATTTCTGGTTATGAAATATCGAGCCGTATCGTGTTAACTAGAAATTCTGTTTGGTTTAGCTAAAATACATTCTATCATACATGTCTTGTTGATACAATCAAAGCGTTTTTCTCAGTGTGGGCGAAATAGTCCCGCTAGACTCTACACGGGCAAGAAATGATGTTGTAATCAGTGTAATTGAAATAAACTGGTTGAAACAACGTCAGTATTAATGAATGAAAAGCATTAGATAGTTGTCTAAGTAATCTGGATATTTAGTTCAATGCTTAAAATTAAAATCCTTAGCAAACACAATTGAATGAATTATTTACATATGTTTGTGGCAGCTTGTGACGTTGACGTTTAAGTCAGGCAATTTTATTATTTTAATTCAAGAGCATTTGTTTTCCGTGTACGCTTGCTCCAACGAAGCTTCGTATTGGAAACGTACGCTTAAAAAATTCTAAAAATTCGTCGATTAACAAACAACAAGCTGAAAACACCAAGTCGGCAAGTCGACTAGATAAATAAGCGAATCGACGCTACGTCGCAGATATTGTTTAATTAAACCGATACAATCGGTAAAGTGCCTCGAAATCGCGTGGACAAGGGGAAAGAGCGACATACCTAATGGTCATTCCGGCGAGTAAAGCCGATCCGAGTTTACGCGAGAACCGGCGAATAAAGCGACGATGAGGGACACGAACGAAGCAATGTTGGTCACGACAGTATTACAAATAAATCAGCCCTCGTGCGGGAGCGCGGATATCCCAGAATGGGCGGACAGTGGCGGACACATATTGCCTCACGTAAAACGTAGAGTCGATCTTTGTTATCGAAAATGTCAAGGGGGAATATTCGACATTATTTAAATGTCGGCAGTCAGTATTTCTAGATCAGAGTCCGCAAGTGAAATTACCTTTTTAATCCCTTGAGCTGCAAGAGCCCCGATATATGCATTCATTCGAGGATGTTTTCCGGTAAGAGCGAAATGAAATTAATAAGCGGTATCGATTAAGATGCCTCGCAGTTTAATTCGTGACGCCGTTAATTGACACACGTTAATTAACGTGGAACTGTAATCGAATCTTGTCACGTGATGGCATGGTATTTTTACCCCGCTGGCCGGTAAATTCAATAACACCTTTTTGCATGACGGAAAAGCTTGGTAGTCGACGGTGAAATAGGCCGGCAGCTATCTAGACTTTATTGAATTGTAACGTCGGGGATGTAAGATGATGCGCGCGGCGACTCCTCGCAAACTGTTTTTTACCAACAACGCCATTCTTAACTTAATAAAGGAGATCCATTAAACGCCGTATCCGCTACGTGTCACAAAATTATACGAGATAATACAATTTAGATTGTTACGTGTCATTATGACGCATTTATTTTGCATTTCGGCGCGATACGCCGGGCTGATAGCGAAATTCGTGTCATCGGCTAACTCGTGGAAATGGTTTGGCCAATTTATATCACAAGTTCGAAAGTGCCGGCCGCATCGGCTCACGTACGGTCAGTCTCATTTTTCTAATCCATAATTCATTTAGTTCTGCCATAATTCAAGGTGCCTCTCGTAGATATATTTTTCATGCATAAAATAACTTGACTCCAAGCTCAATAAGGTTGTTCGTTATCTATTTGCTTTTAAATTAAATTTATGGCAGAACTTTTAATTTCCAATGGCTTGCGGGAAACGTGGAGCGCGAATTCGTGCCTAGATTTTTCATCAACGGAAATTGACTGCAAATATCACGGAGGATTAAGTTACGCGTTTATTTTCTGCCAATTCTGGGACAACGGACTCCGTGGCATTACGTAGCATTATTGATAACTATTTGCGCGCCGATTGCTCAACGAAAATAAAGGAACAAGATATCTTGGAATTTTTTAACATTTTCATCCATCTCTAAATTTTAAATAGAAATCAGAGAGAATAAACAGAAGCTTCTTATTTCCGTCCTTTCCACAGGTTGTACAGTTCTCTTCTCAAATGTAATTAAAGCGGCTTTAATATACGATTGATATGATTGATGCAATATATTAATTTTAATAATGTTGACGCAAACGTAATATCGCTTTCAATATGAACATAAAATGATTAATATTGTTGCATAATGTGAGATATTGCGGTCCGCTTAATAACTTCTGCGCAGTGTCACATAATGAAATAACATTTACATGTAATGTTTCATATATTATCAATATAATCGGACACTATCAAGCAACTTCGTCTTTTATCTTTTTTAATAACTCTAAAGTGAATTAATTGTTAGAGTTAATGTAATTAGCTGCCAAGTTTTATTTCCCAGATCTCGCGCTTTTTTTTTTAATCGTCGGTGGAGAGAACAACGGTGCAATTTTTATCTTTATCGAAAAGTTTTATCGTTACTTTCCACCTAACCGTAGAAACTGCTAACCATTAAAAAAAAGTGTTAATGTCTTGTTGCAGTTTTCTCTCTCTCCCCCTCCCCCTTTTATCGCATCGTGATACGAACAACGAGACATTTACTCGTAAAACTTTCATGACTCTCCCGAGTATAATTGAAACGACCCCGCGCCTTTCGTACGAGTTACTTCCTATTTTAGCTCATAAATTTTATCGACAGATTCCAATGACGCTCGTTGCACTCGCGAGAGTATTCCGTAACGCACGATTCGCCCATTCTCCTCGCTCCTGTCAAACGCGGGACGGTCGAGGCGTGCAATTAACTATGCAAGCGGAAAGATACGCTTCTACAAGTATTACGGGGAAATTGAGTCGTCGAGTGTTGACGCGCGGGACATTATTTCCACGCGCCTTTGTTTCCACCGGAGGATTAATTTAACTTTCAGTCCGTACACACGGGGACGGTTCACATTATCGATACGGTGCGATCGGTCGATCGGAAAGCAAGTCGTACGCGCGAAATCCTCTTTCTCTCTTTCGCGCGCGACAGATCTCGGCTGGCGTCAACCCCCGGCGCGGCGGAATCGGGTTCTTTACAATCGAGGGCGGACACTGCGGCGTACAGCATCGCGCGGAGAGAGAGAGAGAGAGAGAGAGAGAGAAGCCGAGAGCGCATAAATTTCCGCTCCAAGTACGAATGCAAAATCCACCGTGGACTTACAGCATCGGTTCTCGTATAACGTCACCCGCGTGCTGATTTATCGTCGCCTCGTTCCGCCGCACGCGTCTCGCACGCTCGCGGCGATACGCATCGCCCGTTGTTATTCGCGGGGCCGATTGCCAAAACTACTCGTTAAATTTCATCGAGAGTCTCGAACTCGTAATGTCCGTTTTTCGCCCTCTCTCTTTCTCCCCTTCTCTATCTCTCTCTCTCTCTCTCTCTCTGTCTTTCGTTAACACAAATGCGAAAATGCGCAATGAAACTTTAACGCACCTGGCGAAGGTACGGTCACGTTTAGCCACCCCACTGGCGAAAAGTCGCGTGGGCTTCCTTTCCCCCGGTTGGCTCGTAACAGTAATGGTCTTCCTTAACCGATTGTATCCGTCGCGGCACAAGATTAGATTCTTACTTCCTGCGTACACGTTCAGAACCGAATATTCATAAGCAGATTTACACGCGTATTCTCCGACATTTCAGCGCGGCGAAATATGAGGCTGTAGAAGGTGCGTAGTCTGAAAGGAAGTACGCGGAATTTTACGCTCGCGTAAAATTTATATATCGTGTAATAAGGGACCTTTTCCTCCTCTGAGTAACCACAATTTAATATTTAAACAAGCTTATACCACAATTAGCCCGCGCATTCCGCTCGGGTTTCCTCCTCTTCTTTCTCTCGGCGCAATAATTGCGATGAGATACTGAAGAAAGACGTCGGGGATAATCCGAGAGTTTTACGTTTGCCAAACGCCCCGTGAAATTAAACTGGTTTTCCCACACTGACCAGACGCTGCACGTCCAGTTCTTCGCGTCTCCCGGATTTTTATTTTCCACGCCACAATAGAGATGAAGTTAAGAAAATAGTGTACTTAATTTTGTTCGGTCCTCAAACCGGAGAGCGTCGAGGTTTTTAACGCAAAATCTGTTACGCTTTCTCGGAGTCAAATTTCTCATTCGAGTAATCTTGCCCCGATTGAAAATTCCATTTGGAATTTCTTAGCAATAAGAAGTAAAATGTAAATATAATAATAAAAATGCATATGTATATAAAAGTAAGAAAAATATTTATGGTAAAAAGACACCTGATATTCGTGACTGGACGAGTCGCGCGCGCTATAATTCAAATACACACATTTATTCCATTACGTACCTAACGTACTTACATAGATGTTAATTAGACGAGACACTTTTACGGTATAGACACATATGAAACTCGTAAAAGCATTTGCAAATATTACATCACATGACAATTTCCCATTCGAAATTCGACCGACGTATCGACGACCTGACTTTTGCGATGCGCACCAAAACCCTAATGCCTCAGATTTATCTCTTAATCACGTAACTCGGGGGCAAGCACTGTATATAAAAATCCCGATGACACGCGAAGCCACCGTCTATTTACCGGAGGGAAAATCCGTCGACGACGGTGTTTGCACGTGCGAGCCTCCGTCGAGCGGAAAACCGTGGATTACGCTCTCGCGAAAACACAAAGTTGGCGGGACTTCGCAAAGGGTCCTT